AAAATAGATTACAGTTGGTTTCCCTTCCCTTTTCCTGCAAAGATAGATTTCCCAAATAAATACCGTCTAGACTAATTTCCCAAAACAAAGCATCTCTTCCAGTTGTTCTTCCACTTGTTTTCCTCACTGTCGCTCCTGACCCTACTGCCCCTTCTAACTAGAGTTGCACCAGTGTTCTTTCCAGTTCTGCGAAGACAGGCTATGGGAAGAGAAGGGAAGGCAGAAATAAGTTTTCTGACTGAGAACAAGCCCTGACAAACGTAGGCACCCTGGTACCTCTGGTGCTCATGGCCTGAGTCTCGCACCATTGTAATATTTCTCGGGCTTTTCTTATGATGTCTTCCAGCCCATGGGCATCTTCTCCATCCTGGAAGAGGAGTGCATGTTCCCCAAGGCAACTGACACCTCTTTCAAGAACAAGCTCTATGACCAGCACCTGGGCAAGTCCAACAACTTCCAGAAGCCCAAGCCTGCCAAAGGCAAGGCTGAGGCCCACTTCTCCCTGGTGCACTATGCTGGCACAGTGGACTACAACATCTCTGGCTGGCTTGAGAAGAACAAGGACCCTCTGAATGAAACTGTCATTGGGCTATACCAGAAATCATCTGTGAAGACACTGGCTCTACTCTTTTCTGCCTATGGTGGAGAAGCAGGTAAGCTCTTTAAAATCCACATGTAGCATCTGTTCATGTAGCATCTGTTAATAATACAAGTGGGGCATCTCCAAGGTAACATTGATAACATCTGTTCTTTTCCTTTACTTTTGCAGATGCTGGTGGTGGTGGCAAGAAGGGTGGTAAGAAGAAGGGTTCTTCTTTCCAGACTGTCTCAGCTCTTTTCCGGGTAAGTCCAGAGTTCATTGGCTTTGAAAAGGGTCTTTGAAAATGTAAAGTAAACTCTTTATCATTCTCAAAAAGTCTCTTTGAAAATTTTCAGTATTGCAGGATGGTAAAATTTATAATCCAAGTTTCCAAAAAAGAAAATTTATTTCAAGATTATAAGTGATGAGTTGTCACTATGAGACGCACAGTTTAATGTACTCACTCATAGGAACGTAGTGCTTATAATTAATGACTTAAACTTTACTTCGTGACCTCTCAGGAAAATCTAAACAAGCTGATGGCCAACCTGAGAAGCACTCACCCCCACTTTGTACGCTGCATCATCCCAAATGAAACCAAAACACCTGGTAAGGGGATAAAGCGGGAGGAAAACTGGAGCCACAGGAGCTCTTCCACAGCTTGCCCAGCAATGGGGTAATCATTAATGGTGTTGCTTGTTAGGTGCCATGGAGCATGAGCTGGTGCTGCACCAGCTGCGGTGCAATGGCGTGCTGGAAGGGATCCGAATTTGCCGGAAAGGATTCCCCAGCAGAGTGCTCTATGCTGACTTCAAACAGAGGTAAAAGTGCCGAACCTTTTGCCCATTCTGCCAAGATGAGTAGCGTGAGCATCCGAGCCTATTGCAACTATTATACTTTACGCTGAACTGAGGAGTAATATAAGAACATTTCATTCTCAGTTAATCATGGCATAATGTGGCTTGGGGTCGAGATTACCATGGATTTGGGCTTAACAGTATGAAAATTTTCTACTCCCTGTCCTGAAAGCATGCACTGTTCCCAGGCATGAGCTTGTTTTAGTCAGACATTCTGAGAGGGCTTCAGACACAGTGGTGGTCGGTGTGCTGGGAATTTATTCATGTTCTGTTTTCTTCTCCAGGTACCGTGTGCTAAATGCAAGCGCTATCCCAGAGGGACAGTTCATAGACAGCAAGAAGGCTTCTGAGAAGCTCCTTGGCTCCATCGATGTGGACCACACCCAGTACAGATTTGGTCATACCAAGGTAGAAAGCAACTCTTGGTTTCAAAGGCTCTGTCAGAGAGCAGTGAGGGCTGACTCCTCCCTCTGGGACAGGGATCCAAGACTGATGACACAGATGGCAGGATGGAGGTCTCACCAGGCAGGCCTCAGCCCAATAGCATGCAAGGAAGGCAGACCCAGGCATGGTAGTCAGGTTCAAGCAGAAGCCCCTGCTGTCAGGCAAGTCTGTGGCAATGTGGAGAATGTCCAAAGTGACGTCAGAAAACCAATCTGCAGGCCAGGTGGGGATAACTAGTGTCAAACATAATAATCACCAGTCAGATCTTCAGTGATGAGGTGAAGCCAAGATGTTAGTGTGCAGGTCAGAGTTCAGTTCATTTGGGACTATGGCAGGGCAGAGGCACTACTGCAGGTGAACTGGAAACCGATATTTGCACATCATAGCCCAGGCAGAAATTACGCAGAGAGTATGGGTAGAGTGTGCAAGTGAGGCTGCTGAGGGCCTCTTCGTGCGCTCACAGACCTCAAGAGAATCTGTCTGTGTTTTGCACTACCAGAGGTTAATGTATTACAATGTTCTTTTTCTCAAGGTGTTCTTCAAAGCTGGGCTACTGGGGCTCCTGGAGGAGATGAGGGATGATAAATTGGCACAGCTCATCACTCGCACACAGGCCAGGTGCAGGGGCTTCCTCATGAGAGTGGAATTCAAGAAAATGGTGGAAAGGAGGTACACATTCCTCATCTTAAACTTCTTCTTGTGATAACTTCAGTTTAATTTGAATTATTGAATTGAATCTATTATTTAGTGAATTCTTCTTTACCCCAAGGTATATAATAGGCATGTTAATTGTATTGAGGGCGTGTGTTAATGTGTGTGTTAACACATGTGTCAATTGTATTCAGGGAGTCCATCTTCTGCATCCAGTACAATGTCCGGTCCTTCATGAACGTCAAGCACTGGCCTTGGATGAAGCTGTTCTTCAAGATCAAGCCTTTGCTGAAGAGCGCAGAATCAGAGAAGGAAATGGCCAATATGAAGGAAGAGTTTGAGAAAACCAAGGAAGAGCTTGCAAAGTCTGAAGCAAAGAGGAAGGAGCTGGAGGAGAAAATGGTGGCTTTGCTGCAGGAAAAAAATGACCTGCAGCTCCAAGTGCAGGCTGTGAGTATCTGTTTTTTTGTTCCCATTTTTTTGTTCCTGGGAAGAGACTGCTTTTTTTTCCCCCACAAGGGAAACTCACAAGAGGCAGATTATCTTGCAGGAGAATACAAACCGTATTATTATATAAGGAGCTCTAAAATTGAGAAAATTGGCACTTATAGTCGTTTGGTGAGTCCTGTGCCATCCAGGGGAGATTGCTAGCAGCTGCCAATGAGATACAGCCTTCTTGCTGTCTGAGGATAGTGCTCACCAAAAGATAATACATTGAAGAATGCTCTGTCTAAGCTTCTGCCCCTCCTTTAACCTCAGAAAATATAACACAGGCCTCAAAGTGAAGTATCTCTATGTCTACTGATGTTTCCTAATTATGACTACACTGTCAAGATTTGGTTGCTTCCACAATAAGGATATTTGCCATTCCAGCTAATTTAAGATAAGTCTCTTAATATATCACAAAGCACTAAAACCTAAGATTATGTGGTGATGAACAAAAAACCAAATGCAAAGAAAACAAAATGCAAAGATAGCACATCATTAATTAATTGCAAGGGCAAGACCTCTGTGTCATGTCCAATAAAGTTACTGCATGTAGAAGAGTGATATATTTCCTTCCCCATTAAAGAATTCTTCAAAGCAGCAGGGCTTTTACTTCCCCCGTATGAATGAGTCAATGAGAAAAGTTATTGAAGATACTGTGTTTGTGAAGGAGAAAAAGACTCCAAGACCTCTCTCCTGATAAAATCAGTAATGACACTGAAGTCCCTGAGAGTACATGAGCTTTTTTCACAGCTACAACTACTATTAGATGCCTCTAAAAGATCCAAGAATAATTCAAAACCAATGCTGATTTCAGTTGAGAAGCTATATTATTATTTCCCCCTGGAAAATTTCCCTCAAATTTTGGGAGAAAGATCAATTTCAGTACATGTGGTGATTTTAAGGAATAAAGAAAGTCCTCTTCCTCTAAGAAATTATTAAATACCATCAGATGCAGGATAACTTAAGCAATTAAAGCTAAGCTATATTGTTTACAAAGGGAAAGGATACTAATGCATCTTTAGGGTTAAACAAACAAGATCATTGATCATATTTATGTGGTATGCATGAAGATCTAAGTATCTCAAATAAAATTAAAGATTTCTCGAGCAGATTTTGATTTTTTTAAGAAAACGTGGCCATACTTTATTCTTATTTTCGACAATAACATAGATGAAATATATCAGAAAAAAAAATACTCTGTAATGTTCTTGCCTTCAGGAAGCAGATAGCTTGGCTGATGCAGAGGAAAGATGTGACCAGCTCATCAAAACCAAAATCCAACTGGAAGCTAAAATTAAGGAGGTGACTGAAAGGGCGGAGGATGAGGAAGAAATCAATGCCGAGCTGACAGCCAAGAAAAGGAAATTAGAGGATGAATGCTCAGAGCTGAAGAAAGATATTGATGACCTTGAGCTAACACTGGCCAAAGTTGAGAAAGAAAAGCATGCCACTGAAAACAAGGTACAATACAGAATTTCTCACTCATACAGCAGAAATCAATGCTTGGCTGGTACAACGCATCTGTAGGTACTGTCTTGACTCACCACCTGCTCTCTTCTTATCACAGGTGAAAAATCTCACTGAGGAAATGGCAGCCCTAGATGAAACCATTGCCAAGCTGACAAAAGAGAAGAAAGCCCTCCAAGAGGCCCACCAGCAGACACTGGATGACCTGCAGGTAGAAGAGGACAAAGTCAATACACTGACCAAGGCTAAAACCAAGCTGGAACAGCAAGTGGATGATGTAAGGACATGCACGCAGGACACGGATAGGACAGTTGTGGAGGCAGACCTGGCAGGAAGAAAATTCATGGCCTTGTTGTGTTTAGCTTGAAGGGTCCCTGGAGCAGGAGAAGAAACTGCGCATGGATGTTGAGAGAGCCAAGAGGAAACTGGAGGGTGACCTGAAGCTGTCCCATGACAGTATAATGGACTTGGAAAATGATAAGCAGCAGCTGGATGAGAAACTGAAGAAGTAAGTGAGCTTCCAGGGCAATTCTGTGCTGTGCTGGTGTGCATGTGTGCTCTAACACAGGTTTCTTTGGGCGCTAACACAGGTTTCTTTGGGCTCTAACTCAGGTTTCTTGGGCTCTAACACAGATTTCTTTGTGCACAGGAAAGACTTTGAAATCAGCCAGATCCAGAGCAAGATCGAGGATGAACAAGCCCTGGGCATGCAATTGCAGAAGAAGATCAAGGAGTTGCAGGCAAGTCTCCGTTCCGTCCATTCTCTCACACTGACAGAGGTCCAGTTGGAGCAGGGCATGGGTGTGATTGGTGCCTACTGTTCCGCAGGCCCGAATTGAGGAACTGGAGGAGGAAATTGAGGCCGAGCGGACCTCTCGCGCCAAAGCAGAGAAGCATCGGGCTGACCTCTCCAGGGAGCTGGAGGAGATCAGCGAGCGCCTGGAGGAAGCAGGGGGAGCTACGGCAGCTCAGATCGACATGAACAAGAAGCGTGAGGCGGAATTTCAGAAGATGCGGCGCGACCTCGAAGAGGCCACTCTGCAGCATGAAGCCACCGCTGCCGCCCTGCGCAAGAAGCACGCGGACAGCACAGCCGAGCTCGGGGAGCAAATAGACAACCTGCAGCGTGTCAAGCAGAAGCTGGAGAAGGAGAAGAGTGAGCTCAAGATGGAGATTGATGACTTGGCCAGTAACATGGAGTCTGTCTCCAAAGCCAAGGTATAGATCTGCCTTTGGGTTTTTTTGAACTCAGCCATATGGTATGGCATACAGGCTGCATCTACCAAACATGGTCTCGTATAAGAGTCCTCCTATAACCAAGAGTCATCTTTCCTCCTTCCATGTGTTCGATGCCTAGGCAAATCTAGAGAAGATGTGCCGCACTCTGGAAGACCAACTGAGTGAGATTAAGACAAAGGAAGAGCAGGATCAGCGCACGATTAATGACCTCAATACCCACAGGGCTCGTCTGCAGACAGAAACAGGTGAGACATTCTCATCCCCGAGTTGCCCAGCATGAACCTGCAAGTCATGAGGGTTCACCAAGGGTTCAAAGTGGTGGTTTGTCTTGTCCAAGCCACCAACAGGTTTACAGGCACCAATTGTCATGCTATTGCTAGTGACAGAACAATAAGAGTTTTGCTTGTTTCTTTTACATTTCCCAGGGGAATATTCACGCCAGGTGGAGGAAAAGGATGCCTTGATTTCTCAGCTGTCTAGAGGCAAGCAGGGCTTTACCCAACAGATTGAGGAACTGAAGAGACATCTAGATGAAGAAGTAAAGGTGATTGTTGTTCTTTCTCCTTTGGGCGAGAATTTTGTTCCAGGAAGGCTTTCCCTGAAGCCAAGTGTTGCTGGCAGGAGTACCACATAATCATAGCCCAGCTGATTGTATCCTGGTTTCTAACCTAGAGGAAGTTGTCCACATAGCATTCATGCACTTGGTAATGCTGTCTCTTATAGCATTTAGACACAAGGAGAAGTGCAGAACAACCCCAGGCACCCGTACAGATTAGGAGGTTGACCTGCTGGAAAGCTGCTCCAGGGAGAGTGATGTGGGAGTCCTGGTTGACAAGTTAACCATGAGCCAGCAGTGTGTCCTCGTGGCCAGGAAGGCCAAGGTATCCTGGCCTGCATCAGAGGGAGTGTTGCCAGCAGGTGGAGGGAGGAGGTCTACTCAGCTCTGGTGAGGCTGCACCTGGAGTATTGTGTGCAGTTCTGGGCTCCCCAGGGCAAGAGGGATGTGGAACTTCGAGAAAGGGTCCAGCATAGAGTGACAAAGATGATTAAGGGACTGGAGCATCTATCATATGAGGAAAGACTAAGCGAGGGGGGCCTGATTAGCCTGGAGAAGAGAAGACTAAGAGGAGATCTGATCAATATGTACAAGTACCTGAGGGGAGGATGCAGGGAGGATGGTGTCAAATTCTTCTTAGAGGTGGCCAGTGACAGGACAAGAGGTAATGTGTATAAATTAAAACACAGGACATTCCATCTCCATGAGAGGAAGAACTTTTTTCCTGTGAGAGTGACAGAGCCCTGGCACAGGCTGCCCAGAGAGGTTGTGGAGTCTCCTTCTCTGGAGATTTCAAAACCTGCCTGGATGTGATTGTGTGCCATGTGCTCTAGGTGTCCTTGCTTGAGCAGGGGGGTTGGACTAGGTGCTCTCTAGAGGTCCCTTCCAACCTCAACCATTCTGTGCTTCTGTGTGATTCTGTGATTCTTTGATAAAGAACAGATTATCTTCTCCTTCAGTGCCACAGCCTGATTCACTAGAACACATCTAGGAAGGATTCATTACACCTATCTTTAAAATTCTGTGTGAGAATTTACTTGTACTTTCTCCTGGGATGCTCAGCTAGTGCCTGGCATTTTTACTGTCAAGAAGCATCTCAGAATATGTGCCGAAGTTAACAGTCCTAATGTTTCCACAGGCAAAGAATGCTCTGGCCCACGCCTTGCAATCTGCTCGCCATGACTGTGACTTGCTCCGGGAGCCATATGAAGAGGAGCAGGAAGCCAAGGGGGAGCTGCAGCGTGCCCTGTCCAAGGCCAACAGTGAAGTGGCCCAGTGGAGGACCAAATATGAGACGGATGCCATTCAGCGCACGGAGGAGCTGGAGGAGGCCAAGTATGTGGTAACTGGGATGTGACAGAGCAGGAGACTGACTAAGGGCAGGGACAAGACTAGGCCGATAGGGAAAATATGACAGCATCTAAAAGTATAAGGGCCGTTTAAAGGTGTAACTGATAGATAAAAGAAAATGATGAAGATACTGATCAGTCAACTGAGGTCATTGATGGTAAAATGCTCTCTTGAGTAATGCAACACTGGCCCCGCAGTGATTGCTGAGTTGGATCTGTGTCTGCTACCTCCCAGGAAGAAGCTGGCACAGCGTCTACAGGATGCAGAAGAACATGTGGAAGCTGTGAACTCCAAATGTGCTTCCCTGGAAAAGACAAAGCAGAGGCTGCAGAATGAAGTGGAGGACCTGATGATTGATGTGGAAAGGTCGAACTCAGCTTGCGCAGCTCTGGACAAGAAGCAGAAGAATTTCGACAAGGTAAAATGGGCTGTAGCCTTGTGGTCTGGGGACAGAGCATCCCCTTGTGATTGTCAGGTCCATAATCAGGCCCTGCTGCTCTTCAGATCCTGTCAGAGTGGAAGCAGAAGTATGAGGAAACGCAGGCTGAGCTGGAAGCCTCCCAGAAGGAGGCTCGCTCTCTCAGCACGGAGCTGTTCAAGATGAAGAATGCCTATGAGGAGTCCTTGGACCACCTGGAAACCCTGAAGCGCGAGAACAAGAACTTGCAGCGTAAGTCCCGGGTGCCCAGCTACTGACAAGCTTCTCACAAGCTTCTCTATCCACCAACCTGCAGGGGTTTGTGTCTGCAATATGGTGAGGATGGCTGTCATCTTCATGTGGTAGGATATTTCCTATGTTGTTCAGTGCCTGACCCTGCCAATTGTCTCTGTTCATATAGAGGAGATTTCTGACCTCACGGAGCAGATAGCAGAGAGTGGAAAGGCCATTCATGAGCTGGAGAAAG